GGGGGGGGACCTAGTCCTACAGCCCTGTGGTTCACCCCCAACGGGTGCGATAGCACACCCGATTACCTCACGGAGTGTCTAATCTGCACAGCCCTGCCATGCATGCATACCTGGGGGCGCCATTAAGACAACAGACTGACAGCTACACAGAATCAGGCAGACGGTAATTAGTGCTTAACGCTCTAATTAGGAGCAAATTCACTCGTGATGTTAAGTGTCAGCTATTTTGGTTTAACCTTAATTCTTCTTGTTGTTCCCCTGTGATGAGATGGATGGTTTTCACACAGGACAGAACGAGCTCATTGCTCCGAAAACACCGTGTACTATAGCAGGCTCTCTGTTAATACTGTACATTACTCAGTCCTGCATTGCTCATTATTCAAAAGTAAAAAAAAACATTACATACAACGGAACACAGACGGCTTACTGGGACTTTCTGCCCAGTGTGACGAGAGAGAGTCCCCCGCAGGGACTCATGGGGACACACAGAAAAGGCAGCGAGCGGCACTGGAGTGTGCAGAGAGGAAGGCAGAGAGGAAGTCTTAACTGAAGGGCCTGCATCCACCTCAGCTCCCACACAGCATCTGCAAGCTCACCGGCTGCTGGCCACTGATTCAAACCGAATGACGGGAAATCTAGGGAGTGCGAATCACCTACTCTATTTAATATTCATATTCACTTTAAAGCCTATTCCACACACCCCCAAACTGTTTGTACCTTACATCTGGTTGTCATAGTTTTATTTATGCATCTACATGTTCACTGATTGATTGCACTTTTTTTTTCTTTTTTATATCAATTTTTATTTTTATTTTGCTTGAACTGTATACTTCATGCCACTAACAAATTCCTTGTATTTTCTGATTCTGGTTTTGGATCCTGATTCCTGGGAGGTGGTGTGTGGCTCAGCAGGTTGCGATTGTATGCCTATGACCAGAAGGTCGCTGGTTTAAATCCCTTCGTAGGCAGAATGTTGGGCTCTGGAGCAAGACCCTAAACCCCAGGGGCTCTGGGGACTGGCTGATCCTGCTGTCTGATCCTCATTTGTATGTCTGTCACTTTGGATAAAAGTGTCAGCTAAATAAATGCATGTAAATACCTCTTCAGAAGGCCACCGTGACAGAAGGCTGTCCAGCACCCCTGAAGAACACATTACACCAGCACATGGCTAAAGAACATGGCGCCCTTTCAATACTTCACACCTAACGATTATTCACTTACATTATAATTTCTAAAATCATAAACAATCGCGGTTCTAACTCAACCTTCTCTCGCTATGGTTTTGCCAGAGAACTTTTTTGTCATTGCAAACAACACTTCCTACATCACAGGGACAGGAATGTGAATTTGGGCCACAGGGTAACAAACACCAGAGCAGGCGTTGCTGAAGATGGAAAGTTTGGAGTTGCTGACCCTCAGTTGTTGGCATTAAATTTTACTTGCCATACTGTAAATGGGGATTATGACCTTATTTACATTGTTTTACTTTATTTACAAGACACTTTTGTCCCTGGTTACCTCACAGAGTCACACAGTTACAGGATAACAACCGTCAAGTCCAGCTGTGCTATACAAACAAAACACTAGACATACAATGAGACTTCTGACATTAAATGGGAGCTGGAGATTCATTGGATAAACTGCGACCAATCAGCAGCAGCTCCCACAGGAAGCACAGAGACGGCAGCAGCCTTGGGCATGGTGATAAATGTGCCTGTTACAATCTGGAGCACCATTTGCATTCTGGATATCGATCCTGCGATCCGGGCACAAGTCGCTCTCGCTGTAACACCCAGAATTCCCTGAGTCAGTTTTTAGCACGTGCTGACCGTTCACTTTCTGAAGTCCAACTCCGACAGACCCTGTGAATGTTATCGGATGTATCCTGGAGAGAGTGACTGATGAACTAACTCTGCCAGCAATGAGCTATCAGAGGTGATGGTCTGGAACGTTCCACTGGCGTAGGAGGTGCTGCACACATGAATTAGGCTGGAAGGATGACCACAGTACTGATATCACCCCACAGGTTACAGCCACGCAGTGTGTTAACCCTCTACATTATAATACGTGTGACAGTCACCCTCTGTGTTTCTCTGAATAGTGGCATAAAGTAAAGGAGATGAAGCAGGACCCAGAGGCAGAGATGTGTCTTCAGCGAGCCACGGGAGGGCAGGGTCCTGGGGCAGGCTTGGCCACCGGGACCGGGCTAGCAAACCTGGAAGCTCACCTCCTGCTGGAGGTCCTTGATGATCTTGCTCTTCCTCTCCATTTCTGTCTTCAGGAAATTGATCTGCAGAAATAAAAACAGGAAGTTCTGAGGAGCCTGCAGCCACAGTGACTCCAGGCTCACTGCAAGGACAACAGGGACCCATGCAGCACCTCGACCCGGCGAACTCGACCATCTCCAGCTGGGCCGTTTTTCCACCTTTATTCTCAGGACTGATTAGCCCTTGCTTATAATAGAAGAAGAACCTGTGGAATCGTCAGCGTGACATCAATTACTGGAAACCACAGAGTGCTTTTATTCAAACACAAGGATCAAAGCGCAGTGCAGAATCTCAATTATGAAGCCCCAATTCTTCAGTTTCTACACTCAATTGTCAGTGGGAAGCTACAGTAATGTGATAAAGCGTTTGTCCCATCTGATATTCAGCTTTTTTGCACATTTTTCACAATGAATTTGTTGGATCACTGGACCATAATGGCCCTCCCCTGATTCCTGTCTTCCATCACAAAGGCATTTTCTTATATACTGTACACTATTGCTTTTGTTTGTGCTCTCGATAGTCACCAACTCTCCAGGAGTCCTACTCAATTTTCTTTGTAGGGCTCTGGAAATAATTTTAAGTTTTCCAAAAACTGCTGTCTTGAGTTGTTTTTTTTTTCATTCCATATGGAAACGTCATTGCATAGGTCTTAGGGACAATTTGCTTCTCAAAAGCTAAATAAAACTTGACCTACTGATCACACAGGGACCAGAAGCACATTCTACCATGAGCAAGACTATTACCTCAGAATTGGAACAGCTGTTGAGGTCACAAATGTCTCTATGGCACACTATGGTGCTCTCCTGATATGACCCTGTGACCTGGGCAGTGTCCATCAGGCACTCAGCTTGAAAACTCATCCTGCTTTGTGTCAACATTGCAGGCCATAGTTGCTGGAATATTTTACGTTTTTTTTTTGCTCACAGAAACCCAGCAGTTTGTATTAATAAATATGAGAATGTGAAACACCGCAGTATGTTGCTCTCGCTGTTCCTCTTAGACCAACCACCAGCGTTGTCTTCTTCCAAATTCTTTACAAGATAGTAGTTTCAGTGACAATAAACAGGTTGCGCACAGCAAATTTATCGGCAGGTGACGACCGATTACACAGGTGTGATATATATAAAGTGCAAAACGAAGTCATTAGCTGCCGCCGTTATAATGTATTTCCACATTGATCCTAAAAGGTTAAACAAATGCTATCTTAATTGAGCAACAGTTAGGTCTGTGTTGTTAACAGAATAATGTAATTACACGGTGAACGTGGCCAAGTCGCTGAGACAGATAACAGCATTCGCTCACAGATGTGCACCCACATACCCACGGCAGACAGGAAATTGCAGCTCTGTGGACGAGCAAGGCTCAACATCGAGTGTGTGTTTGTGTGTGTGTGTGTGGGGGGGGGGCTTTCAGCCTTCCCAATGCATTACCATGCCCCCTTCCCCCCTGCTTTCTGAGACTTCAGAGACACTAGGGGAATAACTACCAGGAGCAGAACCCTCTGGTGTCTGGGGCAGCCACCAGCACATGCGGGGTTAGCTGGCTTGAGTGCTGGGATGAGCCTCCAGGTATCCTCCCTGATCTCTATCTTCACATGAATCCCCAGCTTGGAGTGGCAGACACTCAGAAGCCCACGGCTGAGCTGAGCCAAACTCAGGAAACCTGAGCCGCCAGACTCACACAAACTCATACCTGTGCAGGTGTAATATTCCGATGGCAGCTGTTATTATAATGGTTAAGTATGAAGATGTTTCCCCCAGGGACATGAGCTCCCACAGAGAGCAGCACGCGGGCCAGAGGCATCACTGGGGCCGATCCTGAGCAATGCAGTCGCCAGGCTGACCCAGAATCAGCAGAACAGCATGGATCGAGGGAGACCACCCTCACCCCTGTGGAGGCGTAGGGTGGGTGGACTGTGGCCTGGCTGTTAGATAGAGCATGCCCCGTGTAGACCAAGAGCCATTGTTCAAAGTTTGCCATGCCGTGAAGCCCTTTAAACTCTTAAGCGGGATCGAAGCATGTGGGCTGAGTGAGGCGGGGGGGCTCTCTCTGTCACCTCCAGCGATTCCGGTCGGGGGTGACTTAGCGGGGAGTGCAGGCGACTCCGGACGGGGCCAAACGGGACCCTCAACAGACAGATCGATACACATGACCTCCAGTGCTCAGCTAATTGATTTTTCTTGCTGTGCTAACAAACAGCGGCATGGCAACAACAAGACCTCGCCGGCAGGACGAGAGGGGGAGGGGGGGTGACAGAGCTAGGGACCCTGGAAGGGGAGGGATGGACGAAAGCAGACCAATCTCAAGTTCCTTAATTACTGCTTAATCACATGACTATATGATTATAGATTTGCATTGTTTATATATTCAATGTCATACTTGTACTTATTATCTATTGTCTTACTGAAGCACCTTAATTTATATTTGTGTTTAATTCATGTATTTTTTGCGGCCAAATGACAATCGAAATAGTTATGAAATTCGCCATGTTTGCCCAATAAACCTGATTCTGATTCTCTCACAAAGAAATGCGTCTTCAGCGTGCAGGGACCCAGGCGGTCTGCAGTTGCATGTTTGTACCCTGCAAACCGCTGAGGAACACGCTGCCTTTCTGATGCCTCGCGAATGTCTCACCACAATGGCTAATGAGCAAAAATACATCATAAGTGAAAATGTCCAGCGGGGCTCGACTTGCAAGCGATCAGACTGCGGCTAAATGAAGCAGAATGACAATCAGCTGCAGGGAGTGTCGATTTCAGAGGCTGCACAAAGCGGAGACATGCTGGCAATTTACTTACTCGTTTATCAGCACGACTAGGACTTGGTGGGAGATTCACAGGAATGTGCACCATTTACACCAAGCTTCTACCTGTGAGCTGCCCAATGATGAAATCACTGTGGAGACCCTGGGATTTGAACCAGCAACATTCTGGGGGAGAGAGTCATAACCTACAGAGCCAAGCACTGCGGCCTATATATAACCACTCAATGGGCACGTGTGTTTTGCGTGGGTGTCCACATGCACATGTATGAGCGAGCACATAATCATTTCAGCGCAATAACAACAGCTGGAAAATCGAAGAGTTCCTTCAAATTTAGCCGTCACCAGACTATGTCACATTTGTTTGTCTGCAGAAATGGATGGGGGCAGTCATGTTTGTTTCTGTGTAAGAAAATGTCTTTTCACAAATCTATAACGGGGATTGCAGTAGGGTTGCAGTACGGAATTTAAAAAAGAATCCAAAGCAGCTCACTATCGTCTCTAAGCTCTCGACATCCATCTGAGAGTCGTGACAACACCGAAATTGTTATTCATGGGGAAAAAAAATCATTTATATTAAATAATGCCAGGATCTAATAAGCTTATGGGCTTGGCAGCATTCGGTGGTGTTAGTGGGGCCTGTCTAAGATCTGTGGGGGGGGGGCAATAAAATGGAAGAAGGTGTTACAGTACAGTACGGTGGCCCAAAGGATCCACAGGGGTGACATTGGAGAATGGGGGGGTACCCCCTGCGTGGACTGGCCGCATAAAGAAGGTGCCGTTCGGATCATCTACCGCAGCGTAATGCCACCTGAAAAAAGCTAATCAAGAGAGCACCTGTTTCTCTCTCCCGGGCCAGAATGGAGAGAGCTGCATTGCTCCTTTCTGTCACTTGGCAATGCTGGCTCATTGTTTTTTAGTGAATGAGGGAAGGTGGGCACGGCTTTTTCACTTGTAATTCACCACAGCACCTTCAGCTGTGAAGTTCTGCAAGAATAAATATGAAAAGATAAAATATGCTAGCTACAACTTGGAGCACTATACAAACAGCCTCTGTGTGCACCTAGAGTAAACAGCGGAAAGGTAAGACCAGTCCAGTGTCCCTCATGCGCAAAGGAGAGAAGCATGGCCCACCATCTTGTGCCGTCTTGACTCGATTCCCTCAGAGTTCTTTGTGAGCTTGTGATTTGGCCCAAATGCTAAAAAAAGTCAGTAAATAGTGTATAGCGAGGTAGCACCCTGCCGGTACTACATGACAAGCTTCAATATCATTTACTATCATTCCCCGTATGGCCTCACCCATTGGGCTCCAAAGAAGTGGGAGGGGAGCGTGCCCGACGGCCCCACCTGCCGCGGGTTTGAAACCCCAGGCCTCGGCATGACAGACGCAGCAGGGAGACGCAGCAGGGAGACGCAGCAGGGAGACCCACGGGTGACGTCCCTCCTACATCTGAGGCCCCAAAATAGAGAAGTTTTGTTGGATAATTTCGGCTTCGCACTGATCTTCTCCATCATTAAAGGGCGACATGCTGCTTTTTCACAGAAGCGCTGCATTGGGGCCAGAGCCTCAGCACGGGCTTGCGAACCATCCGACAGCGGAGGCCATAGATCCGCCATTGTGTGGACATGCGGGGCCGAGCATGGGGAGGGGCGCTTCCTACTGCACTGCAATAAAGCAGTAATCTGCCGCGCCCCCCAGGGACATAACTGGAAGCAGAATATAAACAGGGAGGACATGATGAATGACAAACTCGGGAACCTTATATTGCGTATCGTATCAGTGTGGCGCATCTCGGAGAGCGAGCGGTGCCACTGCTCACCTTCATCCACCTCAATGTTCTCAACAGTCCTGCTGCCCTGTGATGGGAAGATCAGCACTGAGGTGATGTGATTTAAATCTCGCTCCATGTTACACGCTGCTGAGTGTCTTTATAACCATTGCGTGACGCCCATTGTCGTCCACAGAGAAGATTTCTATGTGAAACTTTACAGCTTAATCACAAATTATTACCACAGAGATGGAATGGGTCCCTTTAACTTTGACATTCTGCTCCAGAAGCTTCAAAATTAAAAAGAATTTAACAACATGATGCCGCGATGCGAATTTACCAATAAGTATGGCCTTTTTCCTTTGGAGTTACATGGGAACTGTCACCCCCCCCCCCCCCCCCCCCGTCCATTATATGATCACATGTATGCAGCAAGTCCTATTGCAGAAAACCAAAGGCCTTGTCCTATGCCAGACTGCTTTGATAACCCGCTAATTAACAGTTTGTGTTACTCAGTTTAGCTCTGTTTTGTGACCAATGCTTGGACGAGAAGGAGGGATTGCAGGAACAACGCAAAGGACGCTCCACAGTGTGCACGGACCGATGGTGTGCGGGTGCCCCTGTGGACGTGGGGGCGGAGCCTGTATGCCGCCGCCCCGGGGTCAGAGGTTGCTCACTCACCGTGGCCTGCTGCTTCTCCGCCCTCTCTGTGGCCTCATCCAGCTGCTTCTGCAGGGCCGCCTGAAGGGACTTCATCTCCTCCCTGTGGATGGTGACAGAGCAGTCACTCCCGGAGGGCACCGGGTGACCCACAAACCAGTGTTCCCAAGCCAACACGCCCCCCTCCCAACCATGCCTGACAAGAAGCTACAAGGAGAGAAACGGTGGCATTTTGCAGCGGAGTGCTTCGTTAAAATGAAAAGAATGCCGCTGCAGAGTTTCGACGCCGGTCACGTAAGGAGCATTTCGAGGTGTAACAAGGCCCCTTTTGATCTAGCTGCTTTGCACAGTGTAGCCAGCAAGGCGTGAGAGTCCAGCCTAACGCATTCACTGCATTACCATTCGCCTGTAGGTCTGCAGGGGTCCGGGTGACAGCCACTCATTACCGAGACCGGCCAGAACACGTGGCCACTGCTGGCACCACAAGCACCAGTGACCGACAGAGACCGGAAACGCAGCCAAAACGTGGCCTCCTGCCACCGCGATAATCTGCAGCTCGGGATCTGCCCCTAGGCAAGTTAACCCGCCACCATGTCAACCGATTTGCCAACTGATTCAGTTACTCTAAAGCCAGCAGCTCTTTCTGGGCAGAGGTGTGACACTCCCAGGCAGCCTGAACCCTGTCGAAGAGATGATGCCGGTTGTTTTGAGTGTAAACTGGACTTATACAGCTGAGAGTCAGCTGCCCTTCATTGAAAATGAATGTTTTAGCTTTGGGGCCTTATAGGCCAGAATGAGCAGATACAGGCTGTGATACTGTCATATACTGTACTGCATGTTACAGAGTATAACACAGACAAAGATAACCACCTTTTATGTATACTTTGCATTTTTATATGTGGGAAAAAAAATCATACCCATTAAACTTTCATCACTGGGCTGATAATGAATAAATGATTAAAGTATCCAATCCCCGTTTTTGGGCAAACAGAAAGGAAAACCGGAGATTTAATTAAAAAAAGGACATGCATAATTAAAGTGCTGACTTTGGCGTGATTTGCCAAAGCAACAAAACAATTTCGATGTAAGCTGACAAGCTACAGTAACAAACAGGTGTGCCGAGAGGTAAACAGGAATTTGTAGCTATAGTCCTCGTAATCATTTCAAAACATTAACAAGAGTGTTTCATGTAAAGCAAAAGAGAGTGATGCTGATACTGCTAATTATCAGGTGATAATGAATGAAAATTAATTTCTACACAAAGTACATAATGTACATATTTATGGTTAACTGATGTATACAAAATAAAAGTTACTTGCACTTAAAGCCTGTAATGAGACCAAGTATTGAAGTTGCTTGTTATTTCGTGTTTATTACTGTACTGTCAACCTCGTATAAATGAGCAGAACATTTTTTCTTGAACCTGGTATTATTTATTCATGCGCAATCTTAATTTTGTAATACCACGTTATAAACTATGCATAATTAGCTAAGTCACAGTGTTGCCGTTATATATACCATACGCCGCTAGGTCATTATCTGGATCGAGAGCTTTGCTGGTTTCCATTAATAAGCGAAACTTTTAACCGTAATTGAACAGATCACATGAATTCATCCCTAAGTGAAGCCTGGTATCATTTTAATATCGCGTAAAATCAAATTCCTTTCCTTGTCACTTGAGAACGAACAGGTTCAATTCTCTGGATAAAGCATCTTCCCCTTCTGTTGTTTCACTGTGAAACACCTTGATATAAATTAGTATTAAGAACTGAATTTAATTTGGATTAAGGAATTATTTATGCCCTACTTTGCCTCTCAAAGGTAAAATCACTAAATTCAGATTAGTAGAAATAGGATGCATCAATTAAAAACCGGTGATCATATTTTTGGAATGTTTTTACATATAGTTTCATTCTGACAGGAGCTCATCAACTCATGATTTTCACTATGGAAAAATAACAGCAAATCAACAGAATAAAATAAAAGTTCTGTTTTACTGTGATTCACTCTGACCAATCAGGATCTTAATAAAAGCAGTACTCACTGTAAACCATGTGGACTGAATCCACAGCCATAACCCCCCCGACAATGTACTCAGACAATGTGCCAGGCACAGCACCCCCTAGTGGTACTCCTGAGATTCCAATCATGGCACATTAGGGCATCCCTAGCATGGTTTTCGGTTGGGATTCTACTAAGGGTGATCAGATCTTCATGAACATCACTCCTGGTGAGGTGAGCATCCGTCGATCTGCTCTGCACCCCAGTGCCGGCGCAGAAAGGGCAGGCAGGGGGGAGGTTCACCTCTGCTTCTGGCTCAGCTCCAGCACCCTCTGCACGTCCTTCTTAGCGACGGTGTCGTCATTCTTCAGAGACTGGAAGGAAGCACAAGAGCCCTTTAATGATGAGCAGCTGTGCTCAAGGACACTAAAAGCTCGTAATAAGATGGGGAAATTCAATTAATCCATCCAGGCGGCCACACATTACCGCACTGACAGCATACACGGCCCACACATACACATGGGCTACAACCATAACCAAGAATCATAAAAAAGTAGCATGTGACCGAAGTTTAAAGTTCAAAAGAAGAGCCTTTTTTCAATGCATAGCCCTAAAGGTTTACTGCATGGTTTAAAATGGATTTCATTTTTCTATAAGGTATTAATTACCAGCACATTCACGCTTCAGAGAGGATGGAAAGAACGAATGGGGCATACAGAAGCATACAGAGAGTTACAGGAAGGAGTGGAGACATTCTTCCCCCTTGGGGGTTCGGATCGGCCCGCTCCGAGGAGCACACAGTCCGAGGGACGGATAATTGTCCTAATCAGCCTGCTCTGTGGAGCTAAAGGATGTCCCACTGCTTTTGGATTTAGTGTAGTTATGACAAGTACAGAAAAAAGCATTTTTTTTTTTGTCAGGGATAATGAAACGCTTGTGTCGAAAGGAGAGAAATGGCTAAAATGAAGGATGTCCTTCAGGATTGGACTCATATAGCTGTTCCTCCCTGCAGAGCCGGGCCCTGTTGGCATGGCAGATTCCTGTCAGTGGCCAGCTGGGCCCTTGCCGGCCCTTACGCACCCTCTCCGCATCTGCGACCCTCGTTAAGACAAAGCTGTGTCGGTAAATCACCTCCAGACGGCTAATTTGTTTAGCGCATTAATTGTTAATGCGAACAGGCTGATGTTTATTGTCTTGCCGCTGCTGGACGAGCTCCCCAGTGAGCTGCTTCTCGGGGACAGAAGGCCAGCGGGACACACAGGGGGTGGCGCCTCTGCAAACGGAGGAGCTCCGCTGAAATCTGCACCTCTCCATATGGCTGCGGTTTAGCAGGAGGCAGCTTCTCATTGACAGAGGACACTGATACTGACAGGGTGAGAATTACAGCAGACGCAGAACAACTAGCACAGCTACTGTACGCCCAGGGTTCTATTGCTACTGTAACTGTGGTGAAGGGTGTAATACCAGCATGAGGAGCACAGCTACAGTAAAGGACAGCTCCCTGTGATACTCATGATTACTCACAGTACAGGGCAGCTCCCTGTGATACTCATGATTACTCACAGTACAGGGCAGCTCCCTGTGATACCCATGATTACTCACAGTACAGGGCAGCTCCCTGTGATACCCATGATTACTCACAGTACAGGACAGCTCTCAGTGATACCTACAATTACTCATATTACAAGACAACTCCCAATGATATCCAAGATTACTCAAAGAACAGGACAGCTACCTGTGGTAGCCACAATTACTCACAGTACAGGACAGCTTCCAGTGATACCCACGATTACTCACAGTACAGGCCAGCTTCCAGTGATACCCATGACTACTCACACTACAGGACAGCTCCCAATGATATCCACGATTACTCACAGTACAGGATAGTTTCCAGTGATACCCACGATTACTCAAAATACAGGACAGCTCCCAGTGATATCCACGATTACTCACAGTACAGGATAGCTTCCAGTGATACCCACGATTACTCACAGTAAAGTACCGCTTGCAGGGTTTGATGCACAGGATAGCCACTTTTGATGTTCACCCAAAGTTTAGCTGAAAAGTGAGTTGGCTGGCTAACACACAGCATCCTCTGGCCTGTTATTTAGTTGATACCTTAGCATCACTGAAAGCAGAAATGTCTGAAAAGGAAGATGATGGCCCTAAGTGATTTTCCACCACCGAGTCGCTAGTTTTCCCAGCCTTTAGGACAGCTCATGGATGTTTTTTCCATAATACACATCCTTTAAATGTTTTATCATCAGAGATCTTATAACTCTATCGATGCTACATGTTTGTAAGACAAATTATTAGGACCTTCCGTCCCATCAAGAAGTTTCTGTTGGTCCTGGGTTGATGACCATATCCTAAAACGCAGTCTGCCAAAAAGTTAAAGCTTCACCTACTGTACAGCCAACACAGCCACTTTCACATGAACACTCCACAAACTGGTTTCCCAAACTTCTAATTAGTGCTTTAGTGACTAATCCAAAGAGAAGTATTACATAGTAACAAAGTTAACAGGAAGTAATCATGGTTGCGAGTGTCACAGGATTGAAAGTTAGGTGGGTTGCGTAATGCATTGTTCTCCCTGGTAAAATATGCAGTATAACTGTGTGCTTCAAGTGCAAGCATGTGCACAGAAGGCCTCTGTGAAAGCAATCGGAAGGGTGCCGATTTGAATCCTGTGCTAGACGGAATAGTCACATCATCATTTGGTCCTTGAGCAAGGCCCTTAACCTAGTGTGTGCAGGGTGGGATGTGTGAAATGATGCATTGCAGTTTGTGCAAATAGCAAATAAGGTATCATTTACTCTCCTAGGCTCACTGTACAAGCAAGACACAACCGTGCAGAAACTTAGCAATAAAACAGGGAGATGAATCAGGAGATTGCAATTCACCAGACCGCCTTCAGCAAGCTTCCAGTAATAACAAAAACGGCTAAAAAGAAGTCATGTTCTGCTCACGATCAACACTGTAAGTTGGACTCTGTGACGCACCAGGAAGCTGCAGTCAAACCCCACAGCTGCCAGTGAATCGACATATGAGCAGCCCTCGCTGATCTATCGAGCGACACGCAGCACGGGGGCGCTGGTGGGTGAATGCAGAGCGAGGGGCTCTACGCGGCGGGGGTCAGGAGTGTGTGGGAGAGCTGGCATGCGCCTGCAGCTTCTCACTCTCCCACCCACAGCACTTTGGCAAGGCCGTCTTGGGGCACTGGGCCCTCGCAGTGATGTTGCCAGGGTGACCAGTGTCTGTACTGGTTTGCTCAAAGCACTTTGTTGGGCTAAAGAGCAGTTAGCACCAGTGAGGTAAGTGGCTCTGACTGGATCGAGCTGGTCAAGAGAAAGAGCAGACCTTCTTCAGTGAGGTTGTGTGTGCAGACCCAGGCTACCAGGGGGTACTGAACACAAATACAAGACTGTAATATGGATGGCATATTTTAGAATACATCAAACATTTGATTAATTCATTATTCAGTTCAGGCCTTCATAAACATACTGTGAAAAACAGTATGTCATTATCTCCTTGTCATTATCTTCTCATGTTAGTTTTACATAGTACCATGAATGCACATCATTAAATACTTTATAAGCAGTCATACTTTGAAATGTGAGCTGTTTAAACACATTTGATGTTTTTTCTAAGACAGGCATACAAAGCAGATGATATACTGTACATCATTTCATAAATTCCCATTCAGCACAGGCAACAAAGCAGGGGGTAGGACCTTGATGGGACACCAATCCACACAAACATATACACAATTACACTGGATGTTTCTCAATATCAAGAACAGAAAGATCATACAGGAGGAACAGTGAATCATGGGATTGGTCTCATTCGACAAGGCAACCAATGTATCATTGACTTTTACTGGAGGACTTTTACCGTCCTCTGTACTTCTGTTCTTGAGTATTGGAACTGATCTTTGCCAATGGAAGATGACGAAAATTGGGTACAGGAGAAGTATGGTCAAGTACACATATTGAGAAACACCCACTGTCACACACTACATTCTACACAGAGAATCCAGGAGGAAACGTGTGTGACACAGAAGGAACGTGCAAACTCCACACAGGTATTCAGAACCCCAACTCTCCAGGTGTGAGATAAGAGTGTCTGTATGCAAATATTATGTTTAAGTTTAGTAGTAATGACATTTGCAAACCTGGCAGTTTTACTCACTTGTACCAACAGCAACCGCTCTTAAAGGGCCAGAACACGTGAAAAGAGCAGGGGCCCCACCAAAACATGAGACGGCCAGTTTCTCAAATACCACACAAGAGATGAATGTAAGGCTGCACAGAGGCAATGGCCTACCAGAATGACGACTTCATCAGTTCAGATAAACAGCACGGATATCATTTACCCTTTCGGAAGATTGCCCGAATTTCGCATCTGTGAGGATTATCTCTTGCTGATATTTTTCAGGGATGTAGATTGTTCAGATAGCAACACAAAAACTAAAGCTAGTAAGACACTGAAAGGGAATTAATGAATCAAGCTGAAAATTCACACATCATTAATTATCTACCCCAAAGCTGTATCACATTTCTCTTTTACAGTTTTAAAACCCAAAGCTCTTTTACATCTTTTTTAAGGTTTTTAAAACAGATGGTGGGTAATTCAGGTGCCAAGAGTAAAAGTCCAGACCAGAATTTTGTTCAACCAACCAATTGAGCATGATACAACTTGAGTGACAGTCACAGAGTACTCAAATGGTTGGTTGAAACAAAATCTTGGTCTGGACTTTTAGTCTCTGGACCTGAACTACCCACCTCTGAAGAAAATTATGTAGTGTGTCCAATTTGGCCCAGTTTGCCAATTGAAAGAAAATTTTGGTCTGGACTTTTACTCTCTGGACCTGAACTACCCACCTCTGAAGAAAACTATGTAGTGTGTCCAATTTGGTCCAGTTTGCCAATTTCAGTATCTTCTTTTATGACTAATATTTGATTTTGGCAATTATGGAAAGTCATATTTTAATTCTGTAAGATAAAAAAAGAATGAAAACAATGCAGTCTTTTCCAGTCACTCCTCACACGCCCCCTACTGGCCAGTAAGAGCAAAGGCTTCACCTGCAGGTTGCCTTTGATCCCGTCAAGCTCCTTAGACGTCTTGGAGAGCTGGCGCAGGATCCCCGTCCTCTCCGCAAAGACATCCTTCAGCCTCCGCTCCAGGCCCTCATAGGTCTGTCTAACAGAGGAGAAACACAAGCCGGCCGGGTCAGTGAAGGCTGTGACCCAACATCCGCCCCCTAAACCCCACTGAAGCCTGCAATCTGAGCAGTGCCCATATGGAGCCCCAGGGCAAACTTCACCTTTGGTGTCGGAGGTCCGCTAAGTCAGCATTCCTCCAGGAGGTGGTGCCCTAAGCGGCTGCCAGTTGCCTAATGACCAGCATTGAATGTGAGTAGCAGTGAGGTCCAGGGATGGACAGTGTGCACGTGCTTTTAATGATGCATCCTGGATTACTGGCTGTTTGGAGCTGAAGGGCGAGACGAGGCAGAGATGTCTCTGTTCCACATGACCAGTGTTTCTTTTAAACATTTCCCACCACAACAAGATCTAAGCTCTGTCACAAAGTCACACCACACCTGCGACAGATGAAGTACCACCGGCAGGGGAAGGGAAACAGAATGGTGAGGAACAGCCAGTGCTGTGTCCACGATCCACCTCCGGAATAAACTGGCGCAACAGGCGGAATCCCCCCTCCCCTGCGTGGGCATGCACATCTGTCAATTACAGGCCATGTCACACCACTTATGCATGCAAGGTGGGTGACCAAATGCCCCCCGTGAGTGAGCGACATGCTCCGAGCCCATTTGCAGCTGCTGATGAGCTGCTGTTTCTGGGCACTCATCAGCAGACTCACAGACCCCTATGAAGCCCCCAGCTCCCTCAGCGTTTTCATCTTCACCCGGCCAGGGACCCAGAGCCAAACACAGGCATTTCTGTTCATCCTGGGTAAACTCCTTTATTTGCTAATTCTGTATCATGGGCCTTAAAGGGCCTGTTTGTTGCAGGCAGATTGATCTGATCCGCTCCTGCCCCTCAGACCTCAGGCTGTGAGTCATCAGGCGGAAGTCCGGAGGGATCAGAGCTCTCGGAAATAGTGACGGTGGGATTCTGAGGGTTGGGAGTTGCACGGAGGCGAAGCGGCCAGCTTTGGGGGCTCATTCCCGTGGGACATCTACCTACCAATGAAGCCTGTCCCTCCTTCCCCATTCTGCCTGGGGAGATTGAGACGCTGGGTGGGGGAGGGCAGTGGGATGGGTGGGGGGGAGACCGGGCACTCTCCGGCGGCAGATGGCCGAGCCGACACCTCGTTTAATCACACCAACATGTCCTCTGACAGGCACATACTTGAAAAGACCCCTTTTTTGGCTCTAGATTTTGTGACAAGCTGCGGATCACTGACAGAGATCCTGCGGAGGAGTTTGGAGGAACATTCCCATCCTCCGGCTTTTGCCGTTTCGCCGCTGTGGTTTACTTAAAAACACCCAGGTGATAGACAGAGAATCAGGACTTTCAAGGCCGAAACATGGAAAATGAACAAATTCCTGAATTGCATTCATACAACGTAATTCTGCAGGTGACAAATAAAAACTTGAGACTTCTTGACAACTGCTAAAGCTAAACGGAGTAATGAGTGTGTGAATTTCCCAGGAGGAGGGGACACAGGGAGGGATCTGTATTTGGATGGTACTTAACCTTAGATCTCAGAGCAGTTCGTTTTAATGACCTGGAAAAATTAAACTGAAACCAAAACTTTAAAAGGCTTCTTTTATACAGAACTGAAAAAAATTACATCAAGGGATCACCTGCTTTTGTGGAGGAATAGCATTTTTAGCCCCCTTGAGTGAGACTGTTACTACTCCCTTTCAGGTCCCTGTGCATGTCAGATATGTAAAACTGGACCTGTTTTTGACACACCAGTACAAACCATAATGATGTCCATGTGCCCTAGACAACATCACAGCTCCCTTTTACACCATCAGATATAAGATATCAGGTGTCACACTATTAAATATGAATTGGGATGACGCACATATCACATAAGATCAGCATTTCTGCACATCAGAGTGCAGTTTCCACAAACCGCATCGCACCAGCGCAGCACGAACACACATAAGGACCCCAGCCGTAGTTCGCAGAGAGTCTGTTAAGCGCGGCAAACGTATGCACAGGGAGACAGACTGTTTTGTCAGCCTTTTACTTAGCCGCTAGCCAGCGGAATCACTGTAACATCTATGACGTGACATTCAGGGGCCCCGCTGATGAGAGAAACACTTGCCAAGCTGCGGACACTGCTATTGACTGCCTGAGGAATTAGACATTAATTGGTCATTACTGTCAGAAAGCGGCGGTCCACGGCCCACTGCGACCCGAGCCTAGCACCGCCGGCGTCAGCAAAGGCTCCTGCTCACGCGTGATTAACGCCTCCGCTGTCAGGCGGGTGGCCCAGCGCTGCCCCTCCATCGCCATCCGCTGCCCATGGCTCCCGCTCGCCAGCCGTCACTCTCGACGTGCACGTTCCTTTTTGCAGGCTGTGCACTGATTACAGTGGCAGAGGGCAGATTTCCAGCCCAAGGATTGAGATGAAAACTGCCATTTTACCAGGAGGAAACTTAGCACCTTAGCCTAGAACAGCATTTCTCAACCCAGTCTTCAGGGACCCACAGACGGTCCACATTTTTACTCACACCTGGACCAAATAATCAAGAATGAAGCTCACAACCAGGAACACCAAATTCTGGGTTTAGCTGAGTTGGGAGCTAGGAATCAGCAAAACAGCCACCCGATGCATGCTGCAGGCTCAGTGTGTGCGGAGCAGGGTTGGGGCCATTCTGGAATGCATTCATCAATTCCAACACAAATCAGGAAATGAAACTGGAGTTGGGATCTGAAAAAAAAACTATGGGTAACAGAATTGGAAATGAATTTGAATTTCAGGGAGATTTAAAATCCAACTTCAGTTGTGTTTTCTGATTTGGATTGGAATTGATGATTGCATTCCGGAATGGCCCCAACCCTGGTGCGGAGTCCTGCATTACACATCCCAGGGCTGTAACAACGTACTGGCGGAGAATGTAGGCAGGCTGAGTACTGAGGGCCCATCTCACCCCTTTATTAACCTGGCATGTTACTCTGAATATCCGGCTGGATCCGAGGCCTGCCTGCATAAATTCACCACTTTTCAGGATACCTGCTTCCCTTCATCTGTGTCTGTGACAGTCGCAAGCGATTAAATATCTGTTGTCTGATCATATCACAGCAATTATCCAAAGTGAAGGAGCTGAAAATGTTTACTAGTCAAACTTTCCAATGAAAACACCAAAATTAATTATTTCTGACATGGAAGCTTTTCCTTGAAAGAAAAGCTGAAGAAACTCAGCTGTGCATTTGTCTTTGTGATGAAACAGTACGCCTCGAGGATACTTTGTAAAAAGAGGGGAGAAATCACATGAAAAAAATATAAAAGTATCTGAATAAAAATATACAAACGTGTCAGTTGGTGATGATTTTAAAACAAAACTGCCTTCATCAAATTGTCCATAAAAGCCCGTCATACGCAGCAACACAATGAGCCGGGATCACATCCCGGGTGGCACATGAAACCAGTTCTGGGCTGTGGGAGGAAACCACTGTGAACATAGGAAGAGCAGAACCGGGCCGAAAAATCAAATCCACAACCTTGGCTGTGTGAAGTCACAGTGCTGAATCCTGAGCAACCACACCAGGGAGCCAAAAAAAGAAAGGAAGGAGGAAAAAAAGAAAGTTCAGAGGTGGGACAGTGTTTGAAAATGATCTTTGGGGTAGCAGTAAGTCTGTCACACCACAGGAAAATCATCTTTCCATGTTGTACTAAAACATCCATGTCCTAACTGCTCATCCTGGTCATGGACACGGGGTGTGGGAGTTTTACCCCCTGAATGGTTACATACACCAGAGCACTAAGGAGTCATCATACAACTTAATTAGAAAGCTTGCTGTGTGTGCTATTCAAACTCAAACTCATTAGTTAAACTTACTTTAAAATGCTTTTAAATTGGACAAAAGACGAGTAATTTATTTTGTGAAGATTCCTAGCAACTTTTTTCTTTGTAAAACTGTAAAACAATATAATGTGCACAACATGCACTCTCACAACACACGCACATACACCTGTACACAAAACGCACCCTGCTGACACACAGGGTTCCTAAAATACTTCCAAAATATTCGCTGCACAGTGGTTGAATTTCCAGTTTAGTTCAATCACCCAACAGTTTCTTTCTTTCCCTTGTGACTCATCTGTATCTGTCTGAGATCCTTATTTATGATTTGATCTCATTTATACTGCCCGTGTGGTCCGCTTACATAATGTACACTGGTAGCACAAAGTCTGCACAGTTTATATATCCACTCATTGCCACATTTTTACAAAGAACTGCAGTGGCAAATGGTTTTGGCATTTATACCTCGCAATTAGCCACTAATGTGTCACGTATGTACCGTTGCTGAACACAGGACTGAAGCATTAAAAGGGAAAATGATCAAATTCAACCTGACTCTGGAAGATCGTGTCATCAGATCCAGTCACATGACCCAACCTCAGCAAAACATTAAGACTCAACTCTCAAGCAGGCGCTGTCCAGTTTGCTTCTCACTCCACAGCGGGATTAAACAGCGACTAAACAGGAACAGCATGATCAGTGCAGCCTGGAAGATTCTCCTGTTAATTTTAAATGCACATTTGGCATCTGAGTCAAGAATGCATTTTACTCTGTGGGTGGGACAGCGAGCTGAAATAACATCCACTAAAAAGCGTCTCTCGTCTCCCAGCAGCCAAGAAAATGTAATAAATAAATAAATAAAAAACAAATCTCACGGACATCAGCAAACCATTAGTCAGGCTGTGGGAGCCTGTCAGTAAACAAAACCATAAACAAGGAGAACGGATCACTTCTCAAAATGTGAAATTTATGGAGGCACACACTATCCAATATACCAAAAATGCCATATATGTGATATATATGTGGTGTGTATTATATTTATTCTCACACACACGCACACACACACACACACACAGTCGGTCTTCCTATGTAAATGGGGACCGTCCATTCATTTATATGGGAAAAGCCCTAATCCCAAACACGACACCCTTAACCTCTACCCATCCCTTACCTTAACCATAAGTAATCAACCCAAAAT